GGGGACACGGGGTCAGGGGACAGGAGACACCGGGTCACGAGGTCAGGGGGACAATGGAGTCACGGGGACACAGGGTTAAAGGGGACAGGGGACAATGCCCCCAAAATGGGGGGCACAGGGAGATACAGGGAGCAGGAGGGCCGGGGGGAACACGGGGTCATAAAGGACACGGGGGTCACAGGGGGTCATGGGGGACACAGCGGGACACAGGGGACACGAGGGGACAGAGGGGAATGGGGGAACCGGAGCACCCCAAACCCCATCACCCTGCAGGGACCCCGGGGCTGAGGAAGAGGGGGAGTCCCCAATGTTTTTAGGGTCCCCCCGCCGTTTTTGGGGTCCCCCCGCCGTTTTTGGGGTCCCTGCTCACTCGGTGATCTCCTCGGTGACCGTGTGCTCCACCTGCAGCCGTGAGTTCACCTCGATGAAATAATAATCCCCGCTCTGGTCCACCAGGAACTCCACGGTGCCGGCGTTCTCGTAGCCCACCTGGGACCCCAAAACTGCCCGTGAGGGGGGCCCCAGGAACCCAGAGCTCTTGGGCTCCTTCCCAGCCCCAATTCCGGGATCCTCCTGTGGTCCCCAGAGTCCTCCTGGGGTCCCCAAAATCCTCCTGGGGTCCTTCCCACCCTGTCCTGGTCCCCACTCGTTCGTTCTCCTGATCCCCCAATGTCCACCTGGGCCCCCCCAATGTCCACCTGGGCCCTCCCAACGTTCTCCCAAGATCCCACCCCTCACTCTCTCAGTGTCCCCCCTGTCCCCAGGTGTGCTCACCTGCCGTGCCAACCTCACGGCGTCGTCGGCCAGGCGAGCTCTGAGCTCCGGGGGCAGCCGGGCTGCCGGGGCGATCTCCACGACTTTCTGGTGCCGGCGCTGCACCGAGCAGTCCCGCTCGTACAGGTGCACAACGTTCCCGTGGGAGTCACCTGGGGGAGCAGGGGGGGGTCAGGGGAACCCCAAAAAGGGATCTGGATACCCCAAAAAGAGGGACCCAGCAACCCCAAAAGGGACCGGCGCCAAGCAGTCCCGCTCGTACAGGTGCACGACGTTCCTGTGGGAGTCACCTGGGGGAGCGGGGGGATCCTAAAAACGGACCCAGGAATCCCAAAAGGGATCAGGGAACCCTAAAAAGGGATCTGGGAGCCCCAAATAAAGGACCCAGGAACCACAAAAAGGGACCCAGGAATCCCAAAAAATGCACCTGGATATCCCTAAAACGGCCCCTTGAAATAGACTCGCTTGTGCAGGTATCCTAAAACACCTCCAGGGACCCCCAAAGAGCCCCAGGGACCCCCAAGGAGCCCCAGGGACCCCCCAAGGAGCCCCAGGGACCCCCCCAGGCCGTACCCAGGATCTGGACCTCGATGTGCCGCGGGCGCTCGATGAATTTCTCCACGAACAGGTCCCCGTTCCCAAAGGCGGCCAAAGCCTCCGAGGTGGCGCGGGAAAAGTTCTCCTCCAGTTCCTGTGGGACCCCAAAAGTGGCTCCCCAAATTCCAGGGATCCCAAAACCCAGGGATCCCAAATTCCGCCCCCCCCCCAAAACCTAGGGATCCTAATTCCAGGGATCCCAAATCCACGGTATCCAAAATTCCTGGGACTTCCCAAATCTGGGATTTCCCCCTCCCCATATCACATTCCCCTAAACCTGGGGTACCCCAAACCCTGGGGTTCCCCCAAATCCAGAGCTTCCCCCCCCCCCCATTTTGGGGTGCTCCAAGATCCAGGATTCGGAGCTCCTGAGGATTGGGATTGCTGCAGATTTGGGGATGTGAGGGGTTCAGGAATTTCGGGGTCTGGGGAATTTGGAGTCCCGAGGGTTTGGAGGTTCTGGGGATTTGAGGTTCCTGGAGAACTGCAGTCCTGGGGATTCGGGGTTTTTTGGGATTTTGAGTTTTTTGGGATTTGACATTGCTGGGAATTTAATTTCACAGCAATTCGGGACTCCCGGGGATTTGGCATTCCTGAGGGATTTGCGAGATTTGCGTTCCCATGGATCCGGGGGG